TAAATTTTCTTAAACATTATAGGATGTTATCTCAATATTTGATGATATGTAAAGTCTACTATGTTTTGGGAGTTGAGGATGGAGGAGCCAACTACAAGTTAGTTCCACTAATTTTAAAGACTCTAAACCAAATTAAATTCGAATCAAAACTAAACATTGAAATAAACATTTAAAACATTAATTACTTAAATTGAAATCATCCTTTGATTAAACTCAAAATTAAATTGAAATTGAATCATAAAGGTCCACTAATAGCATTTATAGCACATTACTCTAACATACCATACTTGCTTGGCCAACAACTTAGATATAGGTTAAGACAATTTTATTTTGTTTTCCTTGAGTGTATTATGATTGTTATTTATTGTGGATGTGATGTGATGGATGTTGCAGTAGATTGAATGTTTAAGACTATTCATTAGACTTAATATGTGTTTTCTATGGATGATCATGCTTAGCAAGGCTAAATTCATAGTCATGTAAATCTAACTAATTAGTTTAAAAATGCTCTTTCCTAATTCTTAAGGCCATAAGCATGATCATGTAGGATATATACTACGCGTCGTTATGATTTATGAATGTGGTTTCATACAAACGTCTGCTTTGTAGATTTTAGTTCAAGTTTTCGGTTTTCAAAAATATGTTTTTTTTTACTTATTTTAAAAATAATTAGTAGAAAACTTACAAAACTAAATGAACAAAGATTAATCTTAATAATTGATGATGCTTAGTAGAGTTTGGATAATCCACTAAAATGATAAAGAAAGGATCCACGTATTTAGTTTGATTAGGCTAAGCTATATAATGGTTAAGCTCAACTACTTATTTTTTGTACTTTTCTTTCGAGGTATATTATGGTGGCTAGCCACACCAACCTATTTTGTTAATTATATTTTGATTGCTTATGTTTTGATGTGTTTCTTATATTTGTGTATTAGAATATATTTCTTGCTTGGCTTAGTTTGAATCTATTGGCTTATAACTAATCTACGGTAATGACTTCTATTTTCTGGGGCAAATTGCACAAAAATTTTAGCCCAATTATATTGTAAAATTAAGAAATATAAATTAAATATTCATATTATTTTTTAAATAGATCATTATGTAGAAAAATATCATATTAGCTAGGTCTATTATACTCTCTCATAGTCAGGAAACTTGACTTATAAGGTCAAGTTGTAACTCCTACTCAATTCACCTAATTAAACAATAGCCTCACTTATCTTACATTTGCCTGTCTAAGTAATATTCAACTATTTTGCAAATGTCCCCTTATTTTTTTATATATAAATTTATAATATTTAAATATTAGAAGTATAAATATTCAATTCTATTGAATTTATAAATGAATAAAAATTTTGCATGTAAATTTCTCAAAATCTTATATCTAAATTTATTTTTCGTATTGCAGTGCATAGCCACCTACGGGTCAAACATTTCTTGGTCTTTGCTAAAATCCCATTGCCTGGTCGTTTTGCCCGCACTCTCACCGCCCTGCCCGTATGTCCGCCACCCCTTTTGATGAAAACACCCACTATTACAACTTACTCGCTCTATTTTTCTTGTTTTTGCAAGGTTGTCAAAATCATGCCAGACATCGAACCAGTAGAATGAGATGTTCAAGGTTCAAAGATTGAATCTATATTGAACCGATGATTTAAACAGATGACTTAATAAATCATAAATGTAATTACAAATGACAATACATAAGACTTGCTTCCCACTCAATTCATATGTATTTAAATAGGTAATAGCTAAAATTCAAATTTAACATATGTCATTTTATCTATGCGTGAAAACATGTATTTTACTTCTTAAAAATTAAAATAATGATATGTTTTATAAGATATAAATAATTTTGATATAAATGTAAAATAAAAAAGTTTAGATGTTACATATATAAATAATTAAAGACGAGTAGTATGTATTTAAATTGAACTTTTTTATAATAATCATTTTTTTAACGAGTGATTTGAGTGATATAAATAGTAAAAAAAATATGGAGAGTTATTCCATTGATGTAAAGGCCGAATCTCACATTTATGTTGAACCGCTGTTCAATCTGATTCTGGATAGTTCTCTCCAGGAAGGATTTTCCATGCCAATCAACCTATGGCTGAACCGGTCCAATCGGCCGGTCCTGTCCAATTTTCTAAGCCATGTGTTTTTGCACTGAAGAAAGCAAAAGAAACAGGGGAAGCACTCCCCTTCCCTCCTCACGCTCACTGCCTCTCCTCCGATGCTCCCTCTCGCCGCTGATCCCGGCGGCCTTTTGCTGCCGTTTTGTCGGCTCCCAGGTCGGCGGGCGGTTGATTTAGATTCCAGGCTTGGGTTCTAGGGTTGAAAGCTTGGTTTGGCGGATCTACGCCTTTGAATCTTCGGGGCGGATTCTGGACAAAGCGTCAGCTTCGGCGTGAACTCGGGTTCCTGAGGAGAAGAATCTAGCTTAGACCGCGAAGGAGAAAAGGGTGTTCTTTTTTAACCTCGTGAGCGGAGGAGAGGACGGGATCTGGAGCTTGCTAAGTAATGTGATTTTAGAAGCGTGGATTCGTGAAGATGGGATTGGGTCCGGATGCGGTTCAGGTGGAGGGGTGGGAGAATGTTGGGAAGGAGAAGGGTAAGACGAAGAAGAAGAAGGGAAAGGATGAGGAGGAGACCGGATGCTGGATAGGGTTTCGGTTCAGGGGGATCTGCATTTCCTCGAGACCCAAAGTGGATGTTTCTAATAGTAGCGCTATCACTAACTGTGGTAATTATCAGATTATCTCATTCTGTTACCATGTTGCTTTGTTTTCGATGTTTTCCTTGTTATTTTTAGAAGGTTTATATAAATTTTTTTCATGGACAACGTGGGAATTTATCTTTAAGTTGACGTGGCCCATCCTTTTTATTGGCATTTTTCATATATAGTTTTATTATATAGCGAGTTATAGTACTTCTGGAAGAGGGAAGTGAGTCTGACTAGTTTGGATGGTCGTATCATTCTGTAAACTTTGTTCTTTGCACTGGGTTTGTCGTTGCCATATTTAATTATCTTGTTGGGATGCAAAGAAAATTGGTTATTAATTCGTAACTGCACACTGTCTGTTAGGATACCAGTTTTGTTTCATGTTCTAAGAGTTTACAAGTTGTTTGGAATGTAGCTTCTTAATCTCTCTCTCTCTCTCGCTCTCTCTTTCTCTCTGATTTTATATATGCTTAGACCAGAACATGGTCTAATAATACAAGAAGTCAAATTTGGTTTGTGCCTTGAGAATTCCTTTTTTCTTAAAGAATTGGCAATTCTGGTGCATTACATCAGCATTTATGTTTTCGACCATATTGTATGTAAAATTATTATGTATGTATTCTTAGATATCTTTTCGATTTCTGCATTTGGTATTTAAATGCTCCAGTTGCTTTGCTGCAGGTATCATTGGCCCTTTAACTTGTTGCTAGTTTTCATTCATTTTGTTGCGAAAGTTTGACAAAACAATTTTTTTTATGTTAAGATGGAGTTCCTTAAACTCAGTCCTTAGGAAAACACATGTTTCTTAGTGTCACAGGTATAATACCTAATTTTATCTTTATCGCTTCTCAATTAATTAAGTTTTTAATTACAAAAATTTGCCTGGATGAGGACCATTCAAACAAACTTCATCGTACTGTATGGAAATTCGTTATATTATATATTCTTTTCTATTTTAATTTTTCTTTTTTCAGTATTTAAATTAATGGAATTAATTGATATTATGATTCATAAAAAGATTAATATCTTATGTATTCAAGAAATTAAATTGGTTGGAGAAAAGACTAAGGAGATTGATAACTTAGGTTTTAAATTTTGGTATTCTGGTAAGAGTCGCACTAGAAATGGTGTAGGTGTAATTATAGATAAGAGTTTGAAAGATAATTTTGTAAAAATTAATAGAGTTGGAGATAAAATTATAGCCATTAAGATTATCATTGATACTAAAATTTTTAATATTATAAGTGCTTTTGTTCCTCAAGTAGGTTTAGATATAGGGTTTAAAGATAAATTCTGAAATGACTTAGAAAACTTAATACAAATGTACCTCCCGAAGAAATAATTTTTATTTGAGGAGATTTAAATGGACCGAAGAAAGAATTTTTATTTGAGGAGATTTAAATGGACATGTCGGTAGAGTCATAGAAGATTTTAGAAATATTCATGGTGGCTGCGGTTTTGGAGTGACTAATGCAGAAGACAGAGCTATTTTAGATTTTATTTTAGCGTATGATTTTGTTATTACTAATACTTTATTCAAGAAAAGAGATGTACATCTTATTATTTATAAAAATGAATCTAATAAAACACAAATTGATTATTTTCTTATGAGAAGAAGAGATCGTCGAGATTGTAAAGATAGTAAGGTCATTCCAAGTGAGGATTTAAGCATTCAACTTCGTTTATTAGTTCTAGATTTTAAGATGAAGAGATGTATAATAGAGAATACATTTATTAGTTCTAGATTCCAAGTGAGGACTCATCATTATTTATTAGTTCTAGATTCCAAGTGATGACTCATCATCGTAGAATTAGATAGGGGAACTTAAACGACACATAAAATTATTTTTATGAGTAAAATTCAAGATTTTAAAATTTGGGATGTTCATGATGAAGCAAATGCTATGTGGGATAAAGTAACAAACACTATTAAACAAGTAACAAAAATGTACTTGGAGAATAAAAAAAAACATTTCTTGTACTTGGAGAAATGATGAAGCAAATGCTATGTGGGATAAAGTAACAAATACTATTAAACAAGTAACAAAAATGTACTTGGAGAATAAAAAAAAACTTTTCTTTAAATATAAGTAGTTAGTGGAATAATAATGTGCAAGAAAAGATAAAATATAAGAAGTAATGTTCTAAAAGTTGTTTAAATATAAAAGTTTAGAGAAATGGGAAAAATATCAAATGACTCGTAGGGAGTCTAAAAGAACAATATGTGACGCTAAAAAATTTGCTTTTAATGATTTTTATAATAGACTTGATACTAAGGAGGGTGAAAAATATATGTATAAACTAGCCAAACAGAGAGAAAAGAAGAGAAAAGATTTAACTCGAGGAAAGTGTATTAAAGATGAAAATAAAAAAAAATGTTTTTCTTAAAAAAAGATATTCAACATAAGTATTGAGTTATTTTGATAAACTTTTTAATAAAATTTCTAAAATTACGCCGACCTTAGTGATCTTAATATCGTTAATAATAATAAAACGTTTCATTTTTACCGCCGCATTAATAAAAGAAGTTGAGGAGGCTTTAAAGAAAGCCAAGGGTGGAAAGTCTGTAGGACCTGATGATATACCAATTAAAGTATGATGAAAATGTTTAGGACATTTGAGAGTTTCTTGGCTTACTAAACTCTTTAATATTTTTTTAAAAACTTAAATGATGCCTTAAGAGTGGCGGAAGAGTATTTTGATCCCATTTTTAAGAGTAAAGGGGATGCAGGGATGCACAAGAGTCACAAGAGTGTGCAAATTATAGAGGAATTAAGTTGATGTCTCATACTTTAAAATTATGAGAGGGGGTAATTGAACATAGATTAAGACGTATTGCAAAGATTTCTCATAATCAATTTGGATTTATGCCGGGCAGGTCTACTATGGAAGCTATACATTTATTGAGAAGTTTGATGGAGAAGTTCAGAGATAATAAGGATAATCTGCATTTGATTTTTATTGATTTAGAAAAAGCTTATGATAAGGTTCCAAGAGATATCCTTTGGAGAGTTCTTGAGAAGAAAGGTGTTGATATGTATACTAGAGCTGTTACTTGTGCTCGAACTGAAGGAGGATTGACCAAATATTTTCCTACCGTTGGATTACATCAAGGATTGACTTTAAGCCCATATCTTTTTGTTTTAGTTATAGATGGTCTTACTGGACATTTACAGTATGTACCTTGGTGTATGCTTTTTGTTGATGATATCCTTCTCGTGGATATAACGAGAGAAAAAGCCCAATAAAAACTTGAATTATGGAGTTCTACATTGGAGTCTAAAGGCCTTCATTTGAGTAGAACTAAAACTGAATACATGGAATGTAATTTTAGTAGTAGTAACTCTAGTGATAGAAGTGGAACTTTGAGTGATCAAATTATTAAAAGGTGCGAATGATTTAGATATCTCGGGTCTGTTGTTCAAAGCAATGGTGATATAGATGGGGATGTTAATAGTATAATTCAAGTTGATTGTTTGAAGTGGAGGAATGTTTCGGGATTTTATGTGATAGAAAAGTACCGCTTAGACTGAAAGGAAAATTTTATAAGATGGTGGTGAGACCTGCAATGCTTTATGGCGCTAAATGTTGGCCTTTAAAAGAGAAGCATAATTCTAAGTTAAGTGTTGTCGAGATGAGAATGATTAGGTGGATGAGTGGCTTTACACTTAGAGACAAAATGCGAAATGATTATATCCGTGTTAGGGTTGGTGTAGCTCTTGTGACAGACAAAATTAGAGTGTGTTGTCTTAGATGGTTTGGTCATATTAAGCGTTGACCATATGATGATCCGATTAGGAGAGTAGATGTTTTAGATTCGACTCATGTTAAGAAAGACAAAGGTAGATCTAGGGAAGACTTGGGTTAATTGTATAAAAAATGATCTTAATTTTTTAGAACTAAATGAAATAATGGCACTAAATAGGATATAATGGAGAAAAAGGGTTCATGTAGCCGACCCCACGTAGTGTGATTAAGGCTTTGTTGTTGTTGTTGCTTTCAATATCTAAATTACTAAATTGTTTTGTGTCATTTCATCTTTTTGATGCTCATCTAATTTTGACTAAGGCAAAATGTATTTCTGACAACTTTATCGCTAGCTTTTGTTTGTTTCTGTTCATTTCGCTGGTGAAAGTTCGCAAAGTAATTATGTTTTTTCAAATGTTTTATTTATGCTCCCTCCATTTTTCTCAGTCGTGCAATGTCCACTTCTATCTTTATAACTTTTCAATGAGGTACATAACTTATTTTAAAATTAGAAAAATGTTTCTGGATGGGGCGTGTAATCAAGGTGCATTAATATTTTGAGGGTATCTTGATGTATAGAGTGAAGGTACACAAAATGGAAAGCGGTGAATTGGATGTGTGATGTGCACAATTTTAAAATTTCTCTTAGAAATTTTCCAATTCAAATTCCTCATGATGAATTTTGGAATGTTGTTTAATTTTTAACTATGACAGTTAAAGATGACGAGAAAAAGACTGGACACTCTTATTGTGTGATGATATGAGATAAATAATTTATTGGACTTGACAATCATATACAATGAGTGCATTCATTTCTTTTACTTTTCAATGCCGAAATATATTTTATTACACACGCTTTGTAACCTATACATGCAATCTTACACAACACACCACAAAAGTGAAACAATGTAATTATAAGATTTTGTAAAGTGAGTTTGTAATGTAACTTTTAGCTTGTAAGCATTATGGATTTAATCTACCCAACTATGTTAGGACTTCAGACTAATCCTTTATCTTTGCTCTCTACATATATATTTACATTTATATTAATGAAAGAAAAAAAAGAGACTATAAAGAAAGATAAAAAGTGAAAAAAGATATATAAAAAGAATAAAAAAGATACTGTGTATTTTCCTTTGCTTGGCCGTCTTATTGCAACAATTGTTGGTCTCTTCGTGCTAAGTTGTAAAATACTACCTTTTAAAATTCATAAAATCCTATTTGAGGCGTATTTGTGCATTTTATTTAGTGCAACAAGAGAAACTTAGGCAATGTAATTTGTAAGACATATGCATTGCTTTTTCAGCACGATCGAGAATATATTATTTTGCAAAATTTCTCATGCATGTATCCGTTTCTCTGCAAAAAAGATTATATCATTCGAAACGTGCATGGGATACATAGTGTATGAATGTTGTTTCCTATTTGGAAATTTGGATAACTTTAAGTCCTTTAGCAGTGATAATTTTTAACTCAAACATAGTGTCTCAAAATTCATTCAAGCATTTCAAATGTAGATCTATTCACATGTGCTTTGATTAATTAATTAATGCTTAAATCTAAAGTCAATAGATGTGGTACAAATTGAACTTAAAGTTTTCAATGCCAAGATGCTTGCAAATATTCTGAATGCCTTACAATTACCTTAAAATATGAACTATTTTTAAAATTCAAACTTAAACTTGATATATATACATGCTTTCGAGCTGGTCACCTTGCCTATAGGGTAAGATTATAAGTTTCAAATTTTTAAAGTTTGATTCTCCATGTTTTCGAAATCAAAGTTAATGAGACTTCAATCCTTTGATGAATTATTACAGCATTGGTTAAAATGAGGCATTTATAGTTTTCATTTTTGGCTTAATTAGGAAAGTTTGTAATCAAATACTTAAACTTGAATCTCACAGATTTCTATGTAAGTTTGCATATGGCTTTCAAAGCCTGTAATAAGATAAATTCATTTTGAAGATGCAAATTCTATGGACCACCATGCTCCTATAGGTGGCCATAAGCTTAACTCATAGACAAATCTATTCTAATACAAATATGTTTAGAATTGAACATTCCTATTATGCAATGAATATTTTAATAAGCTTAAATGACATGCAAACCATGAACATAATCTTTAGATACAGTCAATAACATTCAAACAATAAAGTTTAATCATTCAAATATTTCTGAGACGGTTACATCTATTGGTCATCATAATTAGAGGGATCTAAAATCAAGTTCTTAAATTACAAATACAAAACAATGCAAACAAGTTTGCTGTAATGATGGTCGCTTTGACTATAAATATTAACTAAATGAGACTATTATCAAAATGTTATCAAACTTTAAAACAAACTTTTTCTGACTCAATCCTAAAAATATTATACAAATATAAAAAGTTCAAAAAGTGCAATATATAAAAATTTATTTAAGCAAGCAATATATAAAAAATTATTTAAGCAAAATCTGTTGCTTAAAGCTTAAGGCGATCACCCATTCATACTGTCTTCTAATTTGTTAAGGGTGATAAATTAAGGATATTTTAAACTTGTAAAAGTTAATGTCATATCAAATATACTTTTTAAGTTCACTCTTAAAAGTCTTATGCGAGTAACTACATGGCATATAATCTATCATTAAATTGATGGTTTTGTTGCAAAATGCTCAACTAAGATAATATTATAATCTACTTTTATGATTGAGTGGTTTATTGCAACATTGTACTATTAAATTATGGTTATGACTAAAGCTAAAAAATTCTCAAAGGTTTAATCTCGTGAGTGTAAACCATGGAATACAATTGTTATGACATGCAACTCATTGTTAGTTAAGATCGATTTAAAATTGCCTATTTAAGCAAATATTCATCACCCTAGGTCTATATGACACAATTCATGATTAACGACAAGATACTTAGTTCATGTTGGTGATTACTCGACATGGCAAAATCATAGGATTTTGGTCAATTTTATCATCATTCTCCCCACCATTTGCTGAGCTAAAATAATATATATATATATATATATATATATATATATAGACACACACACACACACACACACACACACACACACACACACACACACACACACAC